ATTCTCCCACCTCAGTCTCCTGAGTAGCTGGGATTACAGGTGTGTGCCATCACGCCCGGCTAATATTTGTATTATTAGTAGAGACAGTGCTTTACCATGTTGGCTGGGCTGGTCTCGAACTCATGACCTCAGCTGATGTGCCCACCTCGGCCCCCTAAAGTCCTGGGATTACAGGCATGAGCCACAACATCTGGCCAAGAACCCATTTCGTGTGTGTGTGTGTGTGTGTGTGTGTGTGTGTGTGTGTGTGTGTTTTCAGACCTGAATCTCACTCTATTGCCCAGGTTTGAGTATAGTGGTGTGACCTGGGCTCACTGCAATCTCCACGTGCTGGGTTCAAGTAATTCTCCTGCCTCAGCCTCCTGCGTAGCTGGGATTACAGATGCCTCCCACCACACCTGGCTATTTTTGTATTTTTAGTAAAGACGGGGTTTCACCATGTTGGCCAGACTGGTCTTGAACTCCTGACCTCAAATGATCCACCCACTTCAGTCTCCCAAAGTGCTGGGATTACAGGCCTGAGCCACCATGCCCAGCCCCAAGAACCTATTTCTAAGTTGCCAATTATCTACCTCAAAAGGAAGGAAGCCACAGTCACTGGACTCTCAAGCTACCTCATGATTAGTGGAGGAGAAACTAGGGTAATTAATGTGCTAGTTGGTATTTTTGACAGCTAACTTTCAAAAATATCCAATTACTAGGTTTAAATCAACCCTCGGAATGTCCTGGACATCATATAAGCAGAGGTGGTAGCTGTGACTGCCATATCTCAAATGTAGCAGAGCCTTTACAATGGACAGACTGTGTACATTTTATGCCAATAGAAAATTTCCTAATACAGAAAGCAAGTTTTTTTAGAAGAGTAATTTCACAATATCTTATAGTTAAAATATGTTTTCTGGGTTTCTATGTAAGACTCAAATATCTGTGACCTGTGCCACAGAACGAATTCTTGATTCCAGTTCCATTATTTCTGAGCAAGCTAACTCTTTAATACATCAAATTTATAATATGCCTTTAGCCACTATGCAGGACCTTCTGTACATTAACTTTACCCGCTTTAATACTATTACATTTGCTTTGTTTTATTCTGTCTTCATCCTACATACTCTGCATTAAAAAAAATTTTTTTAGAACAAGGCAGGATAAAAATAAATTTAATTAACTCACCTTTTCAAAATCATCTTGAAATATTAAGCCCTCATCATTTGAGCTACAGTTCTCATTGACCCAAATATGCATCTCTGTGAATACAGGTTAAATTCACTCACTTAATAAGTAAGTTCTAAGGGCCTACCATGTGCCAGTCACTGTTTTCAGTACTTGGCGAAAATACCTATGAAGAGAATGCCAATTAGAGCTAAGTACGATGGAGAAAATTAAAGCAGAGGAGACTAGGGATGCCATGGATTGAGGCTGCAATTTTAAATAAGATGGTCAAAGAGGGCCTCACTGAGGTCACATAACTTGAAGGGCCTCAAGAAGGTGAGAGACTAAACCAGATAGATACATAAGGCAAGGGTGTTCCAGGCACAGGGAATATCAAGTATAAAGGTCCTGAGGCAGAAGAAAGCTTGGCATTTCTGAGGATCAGCTAAGAGATCTGGGCTGGGCAGCCCAATAGGAGATGATAGAGAGGTAAGGAGAGAGGAGAGGGATCTCGAAGGACCTGGAGACCATTATAAGGACTTGGGCTCATACTTGGAGTGAGATGAGAAGCAACTGAAGGGTTTTTGTTTGTGTGTTTGAGACAGGGTGTTGCTCTGTTACCTGGGCTGGAGAACAGTGGCACAATCATGGTTCACTGCAGCCTGGACCTCCTAGGCTCAAGTGAGCCTCCCACCTCAGTCTCCTGGGTAGCCGGGACTACAGCCATGTGCCACAATAGCCAGCTCATTTAAAAATTATTTTTATTTTGTAGAGACTGGGGTTCTCACTATGTTGCTGTTCTTGAACTCCTGGCCTCAAGCGATCCTCCTACCTTGGCCTCCGAAAGTGCTGGGATTACAGGCGTGAGCAGTGCACTCAGCCAATTGGAGAGTTGAACAGAGGAAGTTAAACAACCCAGAAAAACTTACAGTACTGAAATATCTAAGAGTGGTAGCTGTGGAAAGAATCAGTTGACAAATATTTACCAAATCCCTATTTGCTAGGCAATTTCCTAAATACTGGGCATACAATGTAATAAAACATGTACCAGTCCTTGCCCGCCTGAAGGTTGCCTTGTGTGTAAGATTATTAACAAACGATTATATATGAGAAATAATTACAACTCTGCTAGGTGTGAGAAAAACCGGGTGATTTGTGAAAGAATGATAGAGAAGGGAGGTCTAATCTAGTCTGAGGTATGGAGGAAGGCTTCTTGGAAAAAATAATATTTCAAGTGAGACTGGCAGTATGAAGTAAGTTATGTGAAGAGGAATAGGAGAGAGGAGGGCATTCCAAACACAAAGTATCTGCAAAAGCCCGGAAGAAAAAAAAATGGCACTGTCAGAGAATTAGAAGACCACTATGGCTGGAGCTTTGTAGGCAAAGAATGACTGAAGATTTGGGGTTGAATTCTAAGGGCAATATGATAATAAGAGTTTAGATCAGAGGACCAAAAAGATTAGAATTGTATTTTTAAAAGATCAGTCTAAAAGCAATGAGATTAGAGGGGGGAGGAGTATATTTTTAAAAAATTCAAGAGATATTGCAAAAATGTAGGCGAAGATGGCAAAATAAATGAGGATGGACATGGGAACAAAGATGAGTAAGTTCAAAGATATTTAGGAAGTAGAAAAGACAGAATTTCACAATGAATTAGTTTCATGAGGGTTGTGGAAGAAGGTCAAGGATAGCTGAAGTTGCCTAACTACTCTCTTGAACTTTCTCGTAGGTAGTTCCTACTTCTTACATGGAGAGGTAGTAATACCAATGGCAGCTTTTGGCAGAGGAGTGGAGGAGGTACAACAGCATGTCAATTTCACACGGTAATGAGGCTTTATGCCATAGCTGCCAATTGTCATAAACATAATAGCCTTGATTTGTACAAACTATGCAATCCATTCCGTCTCCACTATTGCAAGAAGTTTGGCCACGGCTGTTCAGAAAGAATGAGGCAGTCGGATTCTACATTATACATCTTCTGATAAATATTCACGTTGCTAGGACTATATACACTCATATAATTTATAAGCAGAGAAAATCAATACCTCATACAACTTTCTTTTTTTTTTTTTTTTTTTTTTTTTTTTGAGACGGAGTTTCGCTCTTGTTACCCAGGCTGGAGTGCAATGACGCGATCTCGGCTCACCGCAACCTCCACCTCCTGGGCTCAAGCAATTCTCCTGCCTCAGCCTCCTGAGTAGCTGGGATCACAGGCATGCGCCACCATGCCCAGCTAATTTTTTGTATTTTTAGTAGAGATGGGGTTTCACCATGTTGACCAGGATGGTCTCGTCTCGATCTCTCGACCTCGTGATCCACCCGCCTCGGCCTCTCAAAGTGCTGGGATTACAGGCTTGAGCCACCGCGCCCGGCCTCTCATACAACTTTCTATCAAAGTTCAAATAAGTAATCCCAGGGCACTAAAGATAGCATTTCAATACACTAAAGCACGAAAAAATTACTTCCTCATCAATGAATTGGGATGTACAACCCTGGGAAGCAGCAGCCAGGCCCTATTGCTAACGGACGCTATAATAAAGCCACCCATGCTAACCTAAGCAATGCTTACCACCAAAGAGGGAGATACCTGTTTTTAGGAGTAAGAGTTGAACAAGTTAATGTCAGTGACTTATTTAGCTTAAATCAGTCATAAATTTAGCTTAATGACTTATTTTTATCATTTAAAGATAAACCTAGTTACTCAGAGAAAGAAAATAAATGGCATTTTCTTTTCTACAGACCATCAAATTCTCAGTCACGCTGACTACGTTCTCTATAGCTCTCTCTACTTAGTCCTCGAAGAATGCTAAGTGGAGGGTTTGTTTCCCATTAGACCAGAAAGATAAAATTAAAAAAATTTAAAAAGCAAAATATTTGACATAATCTTTCTGCTAGCAGAGGTTGACACAACCTTTTAAATGCTATTAAGAGTCTGGGTATCAGAATGGATATTAAAATATTAAATATCTATAAGCCATATAGGCTTTCTCAGTGCTATGAAATAAACAATTATTTCAATTACATGATAAGCCAAATTGATATTAATTTATTTGTCACAAGTAGTAGTATAAAGTGAAAAAAAATGCTGAGTCTCCTAGGAATGCAAATGTGTAGGAAGGCATTAGCGCAAAATGATACTCCAAGAACAGCAACTGATGGCTGGGCACAGTGGCTCATGTCTGTAATCCCAACACTTTGGGAGGCCAAGGCGGGTGAATTGCTTGAGCTCAGGAGTTCAAGACCAGCCTGGGTAACATGATGAAACCCTGTCTCTACAAAAAATATAAAAATTAGCCGGGTGTGGTGGCACGCGCCTGTTGTCCCAGCTACATGGGGAAGCTGAGGTGGGAGGATCACTTGAGCCCAGAAGGTCAAGGCTGAAGTGAGCCATGATGCCACTACTGCAGCCTGTGCCATTGCACTCCAGTCTGGTTAACAAAGTGAGACCCTGTCTCAAAAAGAAAAAGAGGCCAGGTGCAGTGGCTCATGCCTGTAATCCCAGCCCTTTGGGAGGCCGAGGCAGGTGGATCACCTGAGGTCAGGAGTTTGAGACCAGCCTGGCCAATATGGCGAAACTCCATCTATACTAAAAATACAAAAATTAGCCAGGCGCAGTGCTGGGCATCTGTAATCCCAGCTACTCAGGAGGCTGAGGCAGGAGAATCACCTGAACCCAGGAGGCGGAGGCTGCAGTGAGACAAAATCACACCACTGCACTCCAGCCTGGGCGACAGAGCCAGACTCTGCTCAAAAAGAAGAAGAAAAAAAAAAAAGAACAGCAACTGCAACTCACAGAAAAAAAAAGTACATTTTATTTAATGATGAAGTACACACACGTTCACACATACACATTTGTACCTATGACTAAAACATTTTTTTACTCTTACCATGTGGAATGCTATGTTCTTTCATTAAAAAAAATGCTGATCACATTTTATTAAAAACATTTCATAAATCACTAATATGTTATAACCCGTAACTCCCATAACTGCTCTAGAGCATTAACAATGCTAAACTATTATTTTAGGGGAATATATAGTCATGCTCCTTCTTAGAATTAGCCCATGATAGTACCTTAGGGACTCAACTCAGAGAAAAAAAATTTAACATAGCCTTGTTACCACGTAGCCAGCCTGGACATGGCACATGCTTTCAGTGAGTTTAAATCTCCTGCTTTCCTACACCGAAGATCTGAGGAAATGACTTGCAACTATGTAACAGGACCCTATGTCTTTATTATACATTTCATATTTGCCTTTTTCTGTACATTATTTCATTTGATCCTCACAACAACCCTGTGAGGTAGGCGGGGAAAATGTCAGATTTCACTTTATAGATAATGAAATCAAGGTTTAGAGAGGTTAAGTAACTTTCTCAGTTACCATGTACCTAGTACAAGGCAGACAGAATAAGAACTATTAACTTTTAGGTTGGGGGCCCTTTTCTCTAACGCAGTTTCTGAGAGTATAATCTAACCCAAAATATTTTTACCACTTCATCCACATTTTCTTATTGTTAATTCAACTTTTTTTTTTTTTCTTTTTTTGAGACGGAGTCTTGCTCTGTCATTCAGGCTGGAGTGCAGAGGCATGATCTCGGCTCACTGTAACCTCCACCTTCCAAGTTCAATTGATTCTCCTGCCTCAGCCTCCCAAGCAGCTGGGATTACAGGCGTGCATCACCACGCCTGGCTAATTTTTGTATTTTTAGTAGAAATGGGGTTTCTCTACGTTGGCCAAGCTAGTCTCAAACACCTGACCTCAGGTGTTGCCTGCCTTCGCCTCCCAAAATGCTGGGATTACAGGCATGAGATACTGTGCCTGGCCTATTAATTCAACTTTTTATAGGATGCCATAAAAGACCTAATTCTAAATTCACCATGCGAAATTTATACTTCGCTACCAATGAAAAGTTATGGCCACAGAACACATATTTTTTTGGAAAGCACTCTCTCCTTGCCTCTAGTCTAAAGGAACATAAGCAATATGAAAGACCCTAGAGGCCAAGGAAATTGAAGAGAAGTCAGAGGAAGGGATATAAAATGGAATGTATTAATGGATTTTAGTCCCTTTAAGCTTGTACTTTTGTGAGAGGGTTCAATGGGGAGCTTTAATGCAGATGAGACTTGAAGCTTCTGAAGAAGATCTAAGTCTTGATGAGGCTATTCAGACTCAAATCTTGAATGCATAATGATGATGGGCCATGGTCTTCAAAAACGTGGTACTTGATGCTTGAAAACAAAACAAACACAAAAAAACTCTACTACAAGTCTAATAATGTTTTTAAGGGAAATTAAAAACTACTTTTTGGTCAGTAATTAATCAGATTACTAGATACCATGCTATAAGAACAAAAGGAGAAAATCAAAAGGAAAGAAAAGGAAAAGGAATTTTTTTGAAAAGGTACACTATACAGAATGGCTAAATATGTTCATTGGCTTATCTCTTTGATTAATACTCTTCACTGAAAATTGCCACAGAATTGAAAGTTCTTACAGAATCTCCCTGAAGTTGTAGTTGGATAAACGGATTTAATGATAATTTCTCGCATCTCTTGGATCTCTAGCCATGATATCAAATTGTCTTAAAGAGCTTTTGATTTCTGAAAGCGTAGTCAAAATGCATGTTGGAAGACACAGCATAAAAAGATGTTGACTTTGTGGAGTAGGGAAAGACACTGATGTGGAAATATTATGGTTCAAAAATACTGAACTATTTAAACAGGGAGAAAAAGAAACAATGCCTTCAAATGGAAAAATTCAGACCCCTTTGCAAGGTTCAAATGAAAAACATAAAGTAAAAACATTGTAAACATGTGCATGATGCAACAAAAGACGGGTTACAGCCATCTGAAATGTCAGCTCAGTAAATAATTACCAGAGGCCTATGTCCCTCAGGGGACACTAGCCTCTGTCCCACACCCCTTTCTTCTCTTTCTTAGAAGAGGTTTTTAATCTCGTTGACTTAATTTGGTAGCTCATTCTGTTTATCTTATACGCTTGTATAAACCTGCCTAAAAATTCATAATCATAGCAGCTAATGTGTGCTGGGCACTGCTCTAAACACATTATATAGATTAATTCCTTTATATCCTCACAAATACCCATGAATTAGATCCTACTATTATCCCCAATTTACAGATAAAGAGACCAAAGTACAGAGAAATTAAGAAATTCAGGTGGTTACCCAGCTGGTAAAGAGCAGAGCCGGGATTCAAACTTGGGTTCTCTGGCTCCAGAACAGAAGGCAATACCCCACCATTCTATAAAACTGGTTTCAATACAACAAAATTTACCAGGACTTTATTTTAATCAGTGATGTCCCATGTCACAATTTTTCACTTCATGTTATGATTAGAAAGCACAGTGACTAATGTAAATTCCCCAACAGTGGTAATATAGAATCCATTTCAGCAGTCACTACTCAGAAGTGACACTCTGTAAGAATGTCAAAGCAGTTTAAAAATGAAGCATGCACTAAAATATTACAGTGATAAACTACTCCTCTTTTTTGCTTAGGTATATTTTCTATAACCTAATTTTTGTAAAGTGAATATGAATTACTTGTATAATTTTTAAAAAGTTTTTTCAATCATGCCATTACCACTATTAGCATTATATATATTAAACTTACACTAAAACTATTAGATAAGTTTGTTCTTGCTCTATTTGAACAGCCACAGATTTTTTTAAATCAAGATAAAGTAAGCTTTACGGTAATAATGAAATAGTAACAACAAAAGCTGTTATTTACTTAGACCTAATACAGGCAAGCCTTTATATACATTATCTAACCTTCAGTAAATTCCTTTTTACAGCTGAGGAAATTGAGGCTTGAAATGAATGAATAATAAAACTTAATTAAGAGAATGGAGTCCAGATTCAAATCTGTCTATATTACTCTAGAGTTTGTGTTCTTTCCACTGTACAATGCAGCCTCTCCAAATGCCAAAATATCTGTCTGTCTTTTGTTACTAAACACACTGAAGTGATCTTTCTAAAATTCAAGTATTCTTCCCTAACTACTTCAACTGAAAATACTAAATGTAAATTATTTCTGTTCAGTCAGGGATATCATTTTTGAATATCCATTAATACACAGCTGTTTTCATCTTATCAAAAGGACTCAGGTTGCTACAATTTTAAATTAGCTGGTCTACTTTATGAGTTTTTTTCTTTGCCTCTAATAGGAGCTCCTGGCCCATTCATAATCTGTTACTTCTATTAACCCATGGAGTTAGATATCAGCTAATTAAGCCTATCAGAACTGTGTCTAAAATAAAAGTAAAATGAGTAAGGACCTGTGAAAAGCATGCTGATTTTGTGTCTTATAATCTGAAGTTGAAGTAATTCTAAAATTTATGCCCTGGTTATGGGTGAGTTGAGGTTGGTAGATAAGTGACCAGTGGATTTGTTAGCTATCAGTATTTAAATATAGGAATAATAGATATAAACCCATCTACAATGAATCACTTCATTACACTATAAAAAAGTTTTTAGGATTTGAAAGAGGCCTCCAGAATAATCTAGTACACTCTCCCATACAATGAAGAATCCCCTCTACAATGTTCCTGATGTTCAAATTCTGCTTAAGCAACCCTAATTCCCAGGAGTTCACTGCTTCTCAACAGTCTGCTTCACTGCTAACTATTAGTAGTTCTATACTTTCTCTTATTTAGAATGAAATTTGGCTTCATTTAACAGAGAACAAGTACACTTCCTATGGAGTTTCTCCAACCCTTCCAAAGTCTTCTAAATAGTCCCATTACCCTCAACCTAGATCATCACAATCGCCCTTTTATAGGATCACAAAATTGACTAAAAACAGTTCTCCTATTCTGCAAGGTAGTTAAATCAGTGTTTGTGTATTAATGTTTTATAGGTTAATGGGATCTGTTAATCTTGGTCATAAACAATTGGAATGCTAGGAAAGGCTAATGTTCTAGTTCAATTCAAATTGAACAGCAATAAATTTTTGAGTTCTCTCTTCTTACTCCCCTCTCTAAAACAATACAAAACAGAATCTCAAAAGATAGGACTAACATAATAGTTTATGTTGCTAGATTTTAATTTTCTCACTTAGGCTTAGGTCTGCCATCCTGTCATTTCAATTCTGTGAATAATCTTAAAACTTCCAAAATTATTTAAGCTACTCTAAAAATCATGAATTAGCCTATGACAGGCCCAGCTCTAAGGCCTTAATAATTTTTTTTTTTTTCTCATTGCACTAACTGGATAACTTCCTATCTGGTATATATATATACCAGATATATATATATATATATATTCCTGGAATATATATATTCTCTCTATATATGTTTCTGGAACATATGTAGGTAATATACATAAATGTAGATATAATGTACTATATATATCTATACACACACGTATAGAGGCATCTTTCCTCAAATCTGTGTTCTCTACATATAACTTTTACTTTCAATGTCATCTCCTTTCTTTCCATGTCACCTTTACCATATTCTAACCTCTTGATTTAGGAAAACAATCTGGCCTTGGATTCAATTCACTGCTCTCCATTCACTTAGCAAGAATAAGGAGTCTTACTCTAGGCATCCCACTCACTGATTTCCCCTTCATGATGATAGTGATTAATCCCAAGGACATCAAGAAGCAAAGCATCATCATTTAACAGATGACTATATGCAAAATACTCTGCTAAGTATGATATAAAATGCCTGACATATCATAGTCTCTTCTATTTTACTAACCATGACTCAATCCCTAGTTGGCAGCCTTCATTATGATTTTTAACAAGACACACAATCAGTGGTATCATATACGTATGTATCTTACACAGCCTATTCTGAAGCAAGTTTCTAATAAAATCCCTATTAATAAAATAAGGATTAAGATTATTATATCTTTACATTTTTCATATAATTCATTTTACTAATCTATTACTACTATTCCAAATGTCCTACAATAGAAGTATGGGAAGACAGAAATGATTATCAAAGTAAAAGTCACTCAAATTTTTTGCTGCATTCCCAAGGCAGATAATCAGCCAATTCGAAGTAATACAAAATGAGATTACCATATATAAAAATTATTTTTCTGGTTTACTGATTTTACTAACAGAGAGAACAAGCCATTCTTCAAAATACCTTAAGCCAATTCTAAACATCAAGAACAAAGTAAAATAATAGTAAGAATTATTTTAAAAGTTCCTAAATAGCAATTCAAATAAAACAAAGTTCATCTCATTCAGTAATATTGAGAAGTTCAGAACTATGCCACTGCAATACTAACTTAGCTTGCAAACAAAGTAACACCCACTATATCACCTGGTCAGGTCAGCAACACATGATATACCGTAAATGAATACTGAATTTGGCTGGACTAAGCACTTAGTATTCATAGGATCTTATTAATAGTAGCAATCTAATGTCAAGGTTTAAAATCTATTACAATAGATTGTAACAGATTGCAGCTCTGAAAAAACTTATTTGGGTAACCCTACTTCTTCTAAATAGTGCAAGTATTATAAGAACAATAAGTCATAAGGGAATAGTGAAAGGCTCTGATAATTGCAAAGTTATCCTAAAACCTTGCTGTTTGCTTCTTAGTATTATGAAAATACAAACATGCTCATAGTAAAAAAAATCAACCTACCAGAAAAAGTATACAGAAAAAAAGTGACATATGAGTCTCTTCTTCCTACTCTAGGTCCCTAGTCTCATTCCCCAGGGGTATCTGTCAACAATTCCTCACACTGGTTTGAAATTTTGTATGTATGTATATAAATGTATGCTTTATATAAGCACAAATGAAAACATACTATATGTACAGTTCTTTTTATTGTTTCCTCAGTTCACAATGTATATTAGAGATTTTTCCATATCTGCATCTCTGCACTACTTTATCCTAAGAGCTGCTAAGTATCACTTTGTGTAAAGGCAGTCATTTAACTAGACCTCAGTTGAAACACAGTTAGGTTATTTCCAGCAGGTTCTAGTTAGGCTATTTCTAGCAGTTTGTAGTTAGGCTATTGTTTTTTCTTTAATTTCAAACAATATGGTGACAAAAATCTTTGAATACAAATTTCTGTGTATAAGGCCAAATATATCTGAAAGATGAATTCCTAGAAGTACTGCCTGCTATAGAATTAAACCAATTCTAAACCAGAAGCCAGTGTATAAAGGAAACCAGCAAAAAACTACAAGTTTAATGTTTAGTGATTAAAAGGTACCAAATAGTATCATAAAGTTAGAAGTTAATGTTCTGAAAATGAACAAACTGATCAATTAAGAAAGGTAAAATGGGGCCGGACACAGTGGCTCACGCCTGTAATCCCAGTACTTTGGGAAGCTGAAGCTGGCAGATCATGAGGTCAAGAGATCAAGACCATCTTGGCCAACATGGTAAAACCCTATCTCTACTAAAAATATTTAAAAAATTAGCTGGGTGTGGTGGTGCATGCCTGTAGTTCCAGCTACCCAGGAAGCTAAGGCAGGAGAACTGCTTGAACCCAGGAGGTGGAGACTGCAGTGAGCCAAGATCGCGCCACTGCACTACAGCCTGGGCACAGTGCGAAACTCCGTCTCAAAAAAAAAAAAAAAAAAAAAAAAAAAAGGTAAAATGGGAAAAAAGAAACTTTATCCCCTTGAGACAGAAAGATAAAATGCCTGGAAAATCAACCACCTAATAAATTTTTTTAAAGAAGAAAGAAAAAAAGAAATATCATAAATAAGGCAGGATAAAGGGAAAAAAAAAAACAATCTTTTTAAGCCTTTTTTCTTGCTTAAACTTGAGGCACAAGATAAAACTGACCAGTAGATTTGGTACATATAGTATTACATAGCCAAACTTAAATGCAAGAGGATTTAAATGACTATTTGAGGCTTTATTTCTACTGGGTATCCACAGATTTAAATTATTTCTACCAGGATGTAAAGTGTTGAAAGAAGGTTCCCTGCCAAAAAAGAAAGCAAAGCAGTAACCTTCCAGGAACAATGTAATTATAGCTTACCAATCTTAAATTTCTGATCAACTTTACAGGAAAGTAAGAACAATTGCTTTATATATACAAAACAAACCTCTCTTTGGAAGTCTTGATTAAAACATAAACAGATTAAGAACTGTACTTTTCAATCACAATCCTATAGTTTCCTAGGCAAATTTAAGATTGTTCTACCATCTCACCAAACATAAAACAGTCAACTACTTACCTCTCCCAAAGTGCTAGGATTTGAATGCCACAATACATATTGACTCATGTTTTTGTCCGTTAATGGTCCGTGGTTTCTTTAAATGAAGTCCATTTTAGAGTCCATAGATATCAGTGTTCTGCAAAACTGAAAACCTCAAGAATGTCAATGTACAGACCTAAGTCACCATTTAGATAGCAACTCATTATGAATGAAAGTTATACTACACAGAGATCTAGATGTGCAAAATTTAGTGGACATCACAACAGCAGATTGACATCACACTGAACAGGAGACTGAGGTAGCAAAATTAGACTGGATTTTTTTTTTTTTTTTTTTTTTTTTTTTTGAGACAGTCTCGCACTGTCGCCCTGGCTGGAGTGCAGTGGTGATTTGGGCTCACTGCGATCTCCACCTCCCAGGTTCAAGTGATTCTCCTGCCTCAGCCTCCCAAGTAGCTAGGGTTATAGGTACATGCCACCATGCCCGGCTAATTCTGTATTTTTAGTAGACAGGGTTTCACTGTGGTGGTCAGGCTGATCTTCAACTCCTGACCTCGTGATCTGCCTGCCTCTGCCTCCCGAAGTGCTGAGATTACAGGCTTGCACCACCATGCCTGGTGACTTAATTTTTAAGTAAGACGATAATATGAACATAAATCTAGAGGACCTGAAAACATTACTTTGTACCTTATTTTTATGTATATTCTAAAGTTGGCGCCACAGTAAGAATATACACAAATGGGCATGATTCTGGGCACTTTCCAGATATTGGGAAAACAAGGTTTAAGGGTAGGTAAACTTAAAATTTAAATAGTGCAATAATATATTTACATGTCAACTTTTTGGAGTTTTCAACCTATTTTAAGAACATCTTAGATTTTAAATCTAAAAAATGCCTACCAGTGTCATCTTTTTAAAACACACACACACACAAACACACACACACACACACACACACACACACACACACACACACACACCAGTATGGCATAAATTCAGGGTTTCCTACCCCACTATACCTAATCTAATGCTAAGATTCTGAAACCTCTCCAGAGCTGTTATTTCATTATCTATCCCACACACACTTTCACCTCACTAGTGATTCACGCCAAGATTTCATTACACAGCCTGAGATCTCATCTGCACTTTTTTTCCATTTGACAACCAAAACCAATCTGGTTACAGTAGTTGTTTTTTAGGTCCCTGCCTACTTTTTAATCACATTTTAAAAAATAATTTTCATTTTTAAAATTTTATTTATTTATTTATATTTCTTGAGACAATCTCACTCTTTCGCCCACACTGGAGTGCAGTGGCGCAATCTCTGCTTCTGCAACCTCCACCTTCCGGGTTCAAGCAATTCTCGTGCCTCAGCTTCCCAAGTATTTGGGATTACAGGCTCGTGCCCCACCCAGCTAATTTTTTCTATATTTTTAGCAGAGATGGGGTTTCACCATGTTAGCCAGGCTGGTTTCTAAGTCCTGACCTCAAGTGATCTGCCTGCCTTGGCCTCCCAAAGTGCTGGGATTACAGGCGTGAGCCACTGTGCCCAGCCCATTATTTACCACATTTAAGATACCTAAACAAGTACTTCCAACAAAAGAAACAGCTTAATCTTCTTTTGGGGACCCTCTATTAATACAACTGTTTGGAAGGAGTTAATCTTATTTATAAACACTAGGTGTAATCTCTGACTGGATGTTTATAAATTACCATTTTCATTTTTATAATAGAAAATATAAGGTATATTTTCAATTATAACTATTGTGAGTTATAATTCTCACACCTCAAATGTAACTAGTACATTTACTTATAAGATAACGAAGAAAACATAAAGAAAAAGGAAAGTAAGTTTACTTTGCTGAAAAGAAAGCATTGAGAACAGTCAATGCTACAACAGCAGCGTATTTACAATGGTCCGACTCCACCCTGGTATCATTGCCCTAGAAGTTCTTCCCAGAAAAGTAAAGGAACCTGAAAGAAGCCAAAGCAAATGACTCATCTTCTCCACCCGGAGAAGAATATTAAGACACATTTCTAAATTTCAATAATCATAAAAAACAAAACTAACAAAAACCAACAACGTCCTGGGTATCTCCTGCACCAGCATCCTCATAAACCACTGGTTAGTAAACTAAACTGGAGTCATTTCTACATTCAGAGGTTAGTATACTGAAATTTGGGAGAGTATCTTCCGGGGAGCCAGAATCAGGTTGGTTCATTCATTCATTCATTCGACAGCATCTAAAGAATGCCTACTTGTGGCAAGGCACTGTGCTACGAGTTAACAGACAAAAAGTCGAGGTTCCTGTCCCCTATTAGCAGAACAGGTCGGGGTAGGTGAACCCTAGGTCAACTCATCTCAGTGTCCCAGGCTCCGTCTCTCCAACATAAGCGCCAATGATCGGAAACCCATGATCCCCAGCCATGTCTGATTCCTAGAAGACTCAACCTTGTCTGTATTTCCTCGATGACCTCGGGCCCCCAAGACCAAGTTCCCAAGAGTTCCCCATATGCTCAGCCCCTCAAGCAGCCTCATGCCAAGGAGACTTTTCTCCAGCCACCACCTAATGCTAATGTTGTCCATTACCTAACCTCTGTCCACCCGAACTTAGAGCCCAGAGCGACCTGGGCCGCCAACCCCAGCTTCCACCCCCGCCACCGTTCAGATGCGGCCGGCAGGTTTACCTGTCGGGGACGGAGGCTCCCAGCTGACCCAAGACGCTCCGCCCCGCCCGTGGCGTCACCCGCCACAACCAGGTAACGCCTCAATTGCGTAACTTCCTGTGCGCCACTTCCGGTCGGAATCCCACCTGCCCGGCAGTCCCGCTGAGCACCAAGCTCAGTCAGTGACGTCACTTCCTACCTGTTCTGCGCGGTCTCCTATTATCCTGACGCGCTCCAGATTGTGCTTGTCGGCTTTTAGTCTGCCGGTTTGCTTCTCCACCTGGGTATCTAGCCTGGAACAGTGCATATTATCTCTTTGCAAACATCTTTAGCCTTCTCTTCGGCAGCCACTTCCCTCTGCTGCTTTTGTAGCTTGGACTCATCACTGTTCAAATTCGTCTGGCCTCTTGGAGAAATCATGACTGTTAATGTGATTTTTCTTATTTGTCTACCTCGGGAAGTGCTAGGACTGCAGTCTGTGAGGTTGCGTTGTCTGGTTTCAAATGTTGCCTCTCAGTTCTAACAGTGTTACCTGGGCATGTTACTTCACCTCTCTTTTTTTTATTTAATCCCATTTTTTCTGAGGATCTCTGTGCCCCCTTTGAGTGTGAAACATAATACTAGTACGTAGAAAATAGGATGATTGTGTGTATTACTTGAGATAATACATGGAAAGCACTGGTTCATTGAAAGCATTCAATTAGTGTTAACCATTACTGTTTGCACTATTATGCACTCTTACTACCTGTTGGAACATACCTGTGCTTAAGGACGACTGGAACCAGATTTCCTGCCATCCTTCATACCCATCCCCCCCAACTTTTGTCTTTAAATTTTTACAGATATACAGTTTTTAATTAAGTAATTAATTGATGATGCCTGTAATCTTCGTCAGAACTTTGAGCTCCTCCAGACAAAGTTGGAATCTTAAATAGAAACTAACTTCAACCCTACTGGAAATCACCTGCTTAGTGGTGCGAGGTAATGGGGGAAAGTTGAATAAAACCCAGGCCTTACCCTCAAGAGCATGGAGATATTCAATAAATATTTATGGGATGAAGGAAATCAACCCAGGAAAAAGTGGAAGGGACCAGCTGGGCTGAAGATTTATCCTTAGCACAAAAAAATTCACAGAATGGCAGAACTGAAAGGAACGTTAGAAGCAATCACTTAGTCAATGTCTTGCTGTTACAGGTAAGGAGCATTAGATCCAAAGAGGCAGCTATTAAATGTCATGCAATGAATTTCAATACTAGCACCAGAGGAAGAGTCTCAAAATGCTCACCACCTCTCCACATTCCCAAAATCTGCCTCAAAATGTAAATAAGGTAAGGATAGATTCACTTTTATATCCTCCTCTCACAAGTGAAAAGGATGAGGAAAATCCCAGTCCTGGAGAGACAAGGCAATGTAACATAGATGCTGCATGGTTGTGATGATCATCTGAATGTTGGTGTGGCTACTACTGGATTCATTTGAAACACTGTATTCCCATTCCCCTGGCAAACTTCTTATATTTACCCAGAAATGAAGAGCCAAGTATAGCTCCTAAGAGCTCTACCTTCAATTTTAACTGGCTGGACAGGAATAAGTAACAGATCCAAGACACTTCAGATGGTAACATAGGCTCTGTAAATGCACTGTCAATGATGTGGCATAATTGCATTTAGTTTTCTCTAATTGGAGGCAATTTCTCTTAATAATTATTCAACCTTTGTTTAGGAATATGACAGAGTTAGCATAGGCATTATTAGTAGTATAGAAATGTTGGTAATGGGATCTTTTAATGGACAATAATTCAATGTTAATGTTACAGTCCCATCTTTTCCCCTTATTCAACCATTGGCGCTTTTTCTCCTTTGGCACTAATATACTATGACTTAATACAAATAAATACAAAATAGGATGATGATTTAATCAAATTTAAAAATCATGTGAATTACATTTTGACGTTTCAATCACAATTTACACAGGTTTTTTTTTGTTTTTGTTCTTGTTTTTGTTTTTTTAGGCAGACTTTTGCTCTTGTCACCCAGGCTGGAGTGCAATGGCATGACCTTGGCTCACTGCAACCTCTGCCTCCTGGGTTCAAGTGATTCTCCTGCCTCAGCCTCCCGAAGCAGCTGGGATTACAGGTGCCCGCTACCATGCCCAACTCATTTTTCTTTTGTATTTTTAGTTGAGGTAGGGTTTCACCCTGTTGGCTAGGCTGATCTTGAACTCCTGACCTCAAGTGATCCACTTGCCTTGGCCTCCCAAAGTGCTGGGATTACAAGCACGAGCTACTGCGCCTGGCCTACACAGGTCTTAAAGTCAGCTTGTTTGGGTTCTATGCCCAGCTCTGCTATTAATGACCTTAAATCACTTTACCCCTTTGGCCTTAATTTCCTGTTTGTTCCATACAACGAACTTTGTATTCTAGTAGAAAACATGCATGTTACTTAACCACTGTGACCACTAGATGGCAGGTGTTAAGGGACTCTTCCTTTCTGGCTAAACAAAAACATCATTGTCCAGTACCACCTATTTGAACAACTGCCTACACTGGTGATGATTGAGTGTCCCAAGACTTTGAGAGAGGATAGGTCTGAAATGTTTGTTGAATGAATGGAAGGATTCCGGTATTTGTTCTGGATCTTCTATCCCTTACTACTTCCCACCTGCCTCTTCTCCTATTAAAACACTTTCTCTTTTTAAAGCTATGGTGGTGGGAAAAGGAAGAAAAGATGAGACAATATAAAAAGGAGTTGGATTGGGAGGAGAATGGAGAAAAAGGCATTGTATTGCATCTCAAGGCAAACATTGGTGCACTATGGTATTTTTGGATGGAATAATATGTCTAGGACTTACTTTAAAATAATACATGAGGGTATTAGATGATAAATATTTGTCATATATTGATATTATTGTTTCATTATATTCCTCTCTCTTTGTGCATGCTGGAAATTTTCCATAATACAAAGTCAAAACTAAGATAACGTGAGTGCCTTTCTCTTCCTCTAGACAAGACTGAATTCAAACTAGCCTACTGAATCTGAGGATGCTTTTGCCTGATGTTACAGAAACCTTGTCACAGATTGGGTATTCCAGAAGTAGACAGTCATGTGGAGATGAGAAAAAAGATTTTTATTAGGAATGGAGTGGAAGCAGGATTCTTCAGGGGAAGAAGTTGAAATGCTATTCAGGTCCAGCAAATCCTCAGCCATCCTGGGAGGGAACTCTAGAGTAAGTATTGCCCCTCAAGAGTATCATTGTCAGACAACAATGGCCAGCCCCTTATACTAGATGCAGTCTGCCCTAGGAAAGGTATGATCTCAAGCAAGGTGGCCTTCTGCAGCTGAAGCAGACCCTGATTAAAATAGCTGAGGGCTGTCTGCTAACCCCATTTCCTATAGCTGGGCAGCAAGTGCTTCCTCGAAAGGGAATCTGGGTAGCATATCTTTGCATCTTCCACAAAATGCAACATAAATTGGCTTAAACAATAAGGGGATATCTTGACTTCTGCAACTGGAGTATTATGGCAGATATCAGGGTTGATCGCCTCAGCAACTCAACGATATAATCCAGGACCCGTATTTATTTCTGTCTTTGCCCTGCCTTCAGCAGCATCTGCTTTGACTTACAGCTGGCTTTCCTTGAGATGGCAAAATCACTGTAGCAGTTTCTGTTGATGGCTACACTCTGTACACTCCCTGAGGGGTTGGACGCACATTCAGTACAGGCATACCTCATTTTATTGTGCACCACTTCCTTGTGCTTCTCAGATATTATATTCTTAACAAATTGAAGCAACCTTGTGTAGGGCAAGTCTGTTGGTGCCATTTTTCTAACGGCATATCTCTGTGAAGTTTTGGTAATTCTTGCAGTATTTCAAACTTTTCATTATTAGTATGTCTGTTATAGTGATCTGTGATCACTGATCTTTAGTGTTACTGTTGTTATTGTTTTCGGGCACCATCCATGCCCATTAAGGCAGCACATTTAATTGATAAATATTATGTGTGTATTGTTTCATCAGCAGGCCCTTTTCCCCTCTCTGTCCCTCTCCTTGGGACTCCCTAGTCTGTGACAAAACATACTGAAATTAGGCCACTTAATCATCCCACAATGGCCTCTAAGTGTTGAAGTGAAGAGACACATCTCTCCCTTTAAGCCAAAAGCTAGAAATGGTAAAACTTAGTGAGGAAGACATATTGATAGCCAAGGTGGGCCAAAATTTAGACTTCTTCTTCCTATATTTATGAATGTGAAGGAAATTAAAAATGCTACTTAAGTGAACACAAGAATGATAAGAAAGCAAAACAGTTTGATTGATGATATAAAGTTCTATTGGTCTGGAGAGAAGATCAAACCAGCCACAACATTCCCTTAAGCCAAAGCACAATTTAGAGCAAGGCCCTAACTCTCTTCAATTCTGCAAAGGCTGAGAGAGGTGAGGAAGCTTCAGAAGAAAAGTTGGAAGCCAGCAGAGGTTAATTCATGAGGTTTAAGGAAAGAAGCCCTCTTTATAACATAAAGTGCAGGGTGAAGCAGCAAGTGCTGATGGAGAAGCTAGAGCAAGTTATGCAGAAGATCCAGCTAAGGTCACTGATGAAGGTGGGTACACTAAACAACAACAGATTTTCAATAACACAGTCTTCTATTGTAAGAAGATGCCATTCTGGAATTTCATAGCTAAAGAGGAGAAGTCAGTGCCTGGCTTCAAAGCTCCAAAGGATCTGCTGACTCTTGTTAGGGTCTAATGCAACTAGTAACTTTAACTTGAAACCAATGCTCATTTGCCATTCTGAAAATCCTAGGGTCCGTAAGAATTATGTTAAATCTACTCTGCGTGTGCTCTATGAATGGAACAAGAAAGCCTGGATGATAGAGCATCTGTTTATAGCATGGTTTACTGAATATTTTAAGCCCACTGGTGAAACTTGCTGCTTAAAAAAAAATGCTTTCAAAATATGGCAGCTCACTGACAATGCATCTGTTATCCAAAAGCTCTGATGGAGATGTACAAGGAGATGAATGTTATTTTTTTTTTAAGAGGAAGAAAGAGAAAGAGGAAGAGGGAGAGAGGATGGGGGTATTACTTTATTGCCTGGGCTAGAATGC